AAAAAAAAAAAAAAAAAAAAAAAAATTTAGCTAGGCGTGGTGGCACGCATCCATAGGCTCAGCTACTAGGGAGGCTAAAACAGAAGGATCCTGGAGCCCAGGGGGTCGAAACTGTAGTAAGCCGTGATCGTGGCACTGCACTCCAGCCTGGGTGACAGAATGAGACCCCATCTCAAAAAATAAATAAGTAAATAATAAACAGATGATAGCATGAAGAGAAGGGGAGGGGGACTAGGGACTGCTTTAGATGGCTGAGAAGCCCAGGAAGGCATCTCTGAGGTGACATGTGAGCAGAGATGTGAATGACAAGGAGCTCACCATGTAACAACCTGGGGATGGTGCTGTTCCAAAAGGCAGGAAGAAGCCTGGTGTGTTCAGGGAGCAGGATGAAGGTAAGCATGGTTTACTGAGATGGGAGACTGGAACTTTCTAAACAGAAGTTAGTAGGGCCTCACTGGTGATTACCTATAGCCAGTTTGATTTTTCTCCAATCATGAGCTGGTAACACAAATGCCACCCTATGCTCAGGAGACCAGACTCCATTCCCAGCTAAGCCTGACGCTTTGTGTCCATCTCACGAGTGCTATAAAGGCCCAGGGTTGTCCAGGCACTGCTTGCCTAGAGCAGGTGAGCTACCCAGCTGGGCAGTGAAGGCCATCTGTCTGACCTCCGCTGCCACCCTGGCACTGTTGACTTTGGTGAGCTGCAGTGGGGGTGTCTAGGACCCTGGGAAACTGCAGAAACAGCTAGCAGGTCTGCAGAGACTGGTGAAGTATGGGGACTCACTAGCATGGCCTCCTTTTCCCGCAGAGATTTAAGAAGCTCAGAACAAGGTTTCCCTCCTGAAAAGTCCGTGGCTCTGAGGTGGGCCTCCAGCCTCTCCTGCCCTTCCTCTGCTATTGGGATCCCTGAACCAGACGTGGTACACACAGGGAAGGCTGGGGCCCTGGTATGGCAGTGCTGAGCAGGTCTTCGGACAACCCGTGGTTCCAACCCCAGCTCTACTCCTACTGCCTCATTAGTAAAACACAAGTAAAATACCACCTCCCTCCTTGGGTGGTGACCTTGAGGTGTCAATGCAATAATGCATCTCAAGTGCATGGTACTGCCTGACATATAGTACAGTTAGAAACTGATCATAGATAGGGAAACTGAGGCACTGGTAAACGTACCAGGGGGCCTGTGGCCTGTGTTTTAGTTACTCTAGGCAATTCTCTGCCTGCCTCTGGGCCATCAATCACCTATTCAAGCAATGAGGAATTGGCCTGAAAAATGCTAAAGCCTCTTCCATCTTAGGGCTTCTCTGGTTCTAAATCCCAAGTTAGGGCCACCCACTCTTCTAATACCTTTCATCCAGCCGGTCCTTGTTCCTTGGCTCTTACCCAAGGAAAATGCCTTTTTGCCACTCCAAAATGAACTGCAGCCTTTTGTGCTTATGAACACAGTAAGAAAACAGCTCCTGATTGGCTGGAAACAGTGGTTCACATCTGTATTATTTGGAAGGCCAAGGGCGGGAGAATCACTTGAGCCCAGGAGTTAAAGCAGCCTGTGCAACATAGAGACCTCAATTCTACAAAAAATTAAAATTAGTTGGGCGGCCAGGCATGGTGGCTCATGCCTGTAATCCCAGCACTTCGGGAGGCCGAGGTGGCCAGATCACGAGGTCAGGTGTTCAAGACCAGCCTGGCCAACATGGTGAAGCCTCATCTCTACCAAAAAATACAAAAATTAGCTGGGCAGGATGGCATGCTCCTATAGTCCCAGCTTCTGGGAAGGCTGAGATGGGAGAATTGCTTGAACCTGGGACACAGAGGTTGCAGTGAGCTGAGATCACACCACTGCACTCCAGCCTGGGCAAAAAGAGCGAGACCCTGTCTCAAAAATAAATAATTAAAAAATTAGTTGGGCATAGTGGTGTCTACCTGTGGCCTCAGCTACTGGGGAGGCTGAGATGAGGACTGCTTGGGCCCAGGAATTGAGGATGCAGTGAGCCATGATTATGCCACGCACTCCAGCCTACATGACAGGACAAGAACTTCTCTCAAAAAAAAAAAAAAAACCCACAAAAAAACACACACAAAAAAACAAAAAACCCCACCTCCTGCTCCTTGGCTCCTTTCCCTGAAGTCCATCTTCTGAATGTCCTCTCAGAAACCCCCACAGTAGTCCTAGGGGGTGAGCGCCTTAGGATTCCACTTTTCTTGAGATGAAATGGGGACTCCGAGAGGGGAAGGGACTTGCCCTAAGTCCTCTGCTGGAAAACAGGGAGGAGTTGGCCGGGTGTGGTGGCTCATGCCTGTAATCCCAGCACTTTGGGAGGCCAAGGTGGGCGGATCACGAGGTCAAGAGATCAAGACCATCCCGGCCAACATGGTGAAACCCCATCTCTAAAAATAAAAAAATTAGCTGGGTATGGTGGCATGCGCTTGTAGTCCCAGCTATTCCGGAAGCTGAGGAAGGAGAATCATTTGAACCTGGGAGACGGACGTTGCAGTGAGCCGAGATCTCACCACTGCACTCCAGCCTGGCGACACAGCAAGACTCCATCTCAAAAAAAAAAACAGGGAGGAGCAGGGAATTTGAATCCACGTCCACCCAACTTCGGCCAGAAGAGAGGGACAAGCAGCTAAAGCCCAGGCTGGGAGGGGAACTTCTGCGCTAGTGCTTGGAAGTCGCAAGAGTGCCAAAGTCAGGGGCATCCCTGGGGGAAAGGACAAGCAGACACTTGACCTGATGGGAGCCTTTATTCACACACTCGCCTCCCCTCCCCCCTCCACTTCTCTCTTCTCAGGCTTTGGGAATTGGGTGTAGCCCTCACTCCCGTGAGGACACCCAGCCTGGCCCCCAGCAAACCTGGCTGGTTGGAAGGAGTCGCAACAGGAGTGCTGCGACATCCCAGCATGAGCCCAGACGACTGATACTGTTCACGCATAGTTCTCCTTGGACAGCTGCTGGTCCCCCTGGGAGTGCCACTGTACTGCTTGCTCCCTGCGGGGTTCATCCTCAAGGCCACTCAGCAGTGGCTATGATAAATTATGATAAATGTTGTCCAAGGGTCAGTGTTCAAAGAAGAGGAACAAAGGTAGTCAAGGGATCCCTCTGCCCCCAAGGGAAGCAGTAGATGGGGGAGGTAGGCCAGGCCCCGCTGGCTCAGGAACTCAGGCCAAGCCCTGGATATGCACGGGTGGTGCCGTAATGCCCAGCTCCTCCCGTAGAGCCCTCAGGGACTGCTCCCAGCGCCGCTCATAGTACAGGTTGAGGACACACGGGGCTCTGCGCCCATTCTGAACGGCCCATGGGATCAACTCCGAGACCAGCACTTGCAGGCTCCTGTGGGGCAGCAGAGGAAAAAGAAAACATCAAGTCCCTGGGGGCCAGGCACTCGACTGCTCAGCACTTGTGCATTTTCTCAGTTCATCCTCACAAAGACCTCGGAAGGAGGTAGTTATTATCCCTGCTTTTCAGATGAGGCAACAGAGCTCAGTGAGGTGGAATCTCAAACCCAAAGCCACTCATCTTGAACATGTTGAAGCTCAGGTTTAAATCATAGCTCTCCCACTCCAGAATCTAACACCAACTTGCCTTCCCACTGACGCTCATCATTCTGACCATGCACTTAGGCCTGGCCCAAGAGACCCCAGAGTCCTGTGAAACTTATAGGCTTTATTTGCTCACCTGAAGACCCTTGCCCCAGGCCAGTTTCACATCTCTGCTCCATTTTTTCTACCCTTACTTCCTGGAGAACTGGAAGGGGCAGGGCAGGCGCCCGTGTGCTCTTCCTACTTCTAGGAGCCCTTGTCCCTCTGAGTTCTGTCCTGACACCACCCTCAACCCTGACCCAGCCGCCACTTGAAAACTTACTGAGCACTGAGTTGGATCGGTCCAAAGAGAGCACCCAGGATGCACATGGGCAGGCCAGTCTGAACAGCCTCAAACCATTTCACCACGATCTCCCCTGGGGGTGAGGGATGGGTTGGGAAGTGAACAAGCTATCTGAAGGAAAGGCCAGTGGTGTTCACAGCAGGGCAAAGAGAGGCAACTGTTCCTCCCTAATCTCTACCAGGGTCAGCTGTGCCCAGTCCTGGCCTGTGCTGGGCCCTAGGGCACTTGGCTTCGAGTACGGGAGAGGGCCCAAGAGTGAACAGAAGGGAATAAGGGATGGAAAGGAAGCCTGGGGTCACAGCGCAGAGGATCCCATGACCCCATAAACCAGGCTAAACACTCCAGGATGCTTCCTGCAGGCCTTAGGGAGCTACTGAGGTTTCAGAGCAGGGAGGCAGCTAAAGCCCAAAAGACACCAGGAGTCTTGAAGATGGGCTGCTGCTACACTAGTGCAGGAGCCCTGAGGGCCAGTGGGAGGGAGAAGGGGGACATGTGGCAAAGATGC